AGCCTCCTTTTTCGGGACTTCGCTAGGTCCCAGAAATTGAGAATTTCTGGTTCCTGGTACCAGCGCCCAGACCCGCATCGCTGGACATGGTACAGCGATGCGGGTAATGCAGCCAAGGAGATCGACCACATACTCATTAGCACTCGTTGGAGGATCCTCCAGAATTGCAGGGTGTATAGGAGTGCCGAGTTCTGTTGTACTGACCATAGATTGGTTGTGGCTACCCTCCGAGTCCATTTCAAAACCCCCCAGCGGACCAATGATCACCCCAGGGTGTTTCACTTGGACAGGCTGAGAATGTGCCCGGGGGGTTGCTGAGGCAGTCTCTGGTCGTTTCACAGCACGAAAATCTGACGGACCCTGTTCTTCTGTGGGACACCTTCAAACGTGAAACGCTTGATGCAGCTCAAGAGACGATTGGTGAACACCCGAGAGCAAGGCGAAATTTCATCTCGCAGGAGACACTGGATGCCACAGATGCTTGACGTGTGGCTCGTCTGGCAGGGGATCAAGATTTGCACCGTTCTCAGGTGCGCAGAACTCAGTCTTTGTTAAGAAGGGACAAGGAACAGTTTATTAGGAATCTTGCTGAGGAGGTAGAAGGCCATTTCTTAGTAAATGACCTTTGTCCTGCATACCAAACCCTGAGAAAGCTGAACTCCAAGCCCTCTTCACAGGTGACAGTAGTTCGCTAAGTAAGTGGTCAGATTGTCTCAGATCCTGTTGCAGTGCAGGAACGTTGGGCTGAGTATTTTGAGCAGTTGTATCAGGTTGACCCACCAACAGTTAACTTGGATGCGGGTAGTGCCGAGATTCCCTTGCCGAACCCACCCACCAGTGAGGATGCCCCCTCCCTAACTGAAGTTAGGGGGGCGATCTCCAAGCTGAAGAGTGGTAAAGCAGTTGGTATATGCGGCATCCCAGCTGAACTGTTAAAGGCTGGTGGTGAACCTATGGCGTGGGGGTTGCATGCTGTCCTGGCTGCCATCTGGCGGTCTGGTACCGTTCCCCCTGACCTATTGAGGGGTGTGGTCATCCCTCTCTGGAAGGAGAAGGGGGACCGATGGGACTGCAGCAACCACCGAGGCATCACACTGGTCAGTATACCAGGCAAGGTTTTTGCCCACATCCTTCTGAGACGTATCAGAGACCACTTACTGAGGCATCAGAGCCTGGAGCAATCTGGATTCATTCCTGGTAGGTCCACAATAGACCATATCCTAGCGTTTCGAGTCATTATAGAGCGTCGTCCTGAGTTCGGGCGTGGGCTGCTTGAAGCCTACATCGGCCATAAGAAGGCATTCGATACGGTGCATCGGGAATCACACTGGGAGATCTTGAAACTGAGAGGAATTCCAACAAGGATTATTGGACTAATAGCAAGCCTGTAGCAAGTCAATAGCAATAGTGGTACTGAAAGTGCTGTAAAGTGTGGTGGGGGCCTGTCAAGCTTCTTTCCTGTTCAGGAGTGAGGCAAGGCTGTATCCTTGCACCAACTCTTTTCAACACTTGCATGGACTGGATAATGGGCAGAGCTACTATTCAAAGTCATTGTGGAGCAACTCTGGGCAATATCAAGGTTACCGACCTTGACTTTGCTGATGATGTTGCCAGTCTATCTGAGTCTTTGGAATCCTTAGTGGTGGCTCTCGATGCATTTAGTAATGAAGCGAAGCCCTTGGGTCTAGAGGTCTCCTGGACCAAGACCAAGATCCAGAACTTTGGGGACTTGTTAGGAGAACCTGTTCAGTCGGTATGTGCTTGCGGCGAGGACATTGTCACAGAGTCACAGAGAGCTTTACATACCTTGGTAGTGTAATTCATAACTCTGGGCTGTCAGACCATGAAGTCAGTAGATGGATTGGCCTGGTAGCAGGGGTCATGAACTCTCTCGACAAGAGTATTTGGAGATGCCGGTACCTGTGCAGAAGGACCAAGCTTCGTTTCTTCAAGGCCCTGATAGTCCCAGTTTTGCTATATGGTAGTGAAACCTGGACACTATCCTGCGCCTTGGAGTCTCGACTTGATGCCTTTTGTAATAGGTCCTTGCGACGGATCATGGGGTACTGTTGGCGGGACCATGTGTCCAACCAACGGCTGCACTGTGAGACTGGCACAGAACCTATTACCTGCACAATCCATGATCGCCAACTTAGGCTTTACGGCCAACTGGCTCGCTTCCCTCAGGATGATCCCGCCCACCAGATTGTCTCTGTTCGAGACAACCCTGAGTGGAGGAGGCCTGTGGGTCGTGTGGCTTGGCCTGATCGATCAAACCTGTCGTGAGGAGCTTGAGATGGGCCGAATCCCTGCCTGGCGAGTTGCCATGAGGGACCCTCGCAAGTACAAGCAAAGGGTGGATGCGGCTATGCATCCCCGTCGGCGTTAGCTCCGCAATGAATGATATATATATGTATATAAGTATATATATATATGTATATATATATAATATATAATATATATATATATATATATATATATATATATACGAGTATGTATATGTATATTTGTATATATAGACACACACACCTATATCTATCTGCCTTTCTATCTCTTTCTATATATTTACATATATACATATATGCATACACACACACACAAAATTGATTTCATGTAGGTGTCTCTACAAAGAAGGTAGAGATTTGATATCCCTGGTGTGTAGCTGATTTCTTGAACCGATTAATTGTTAGAAGAGGCAAGGTCGATTATTCTAATTACCTTGTGCAGTAACGGTATATCTTGAATCAGATTTGGCTATATATATTGGATAGAATTTATAGAAATCTTTGATATTTTGATAAACAACTTTTTCATTTGAAAATTATGTTCGGCTAAAAAAAAGTTCCATTTATTTATTTTTTATTATTATTTTTTTTTAATGATTATTAGATCTGCTAATAATGATTCCAAAGCTTATCGCGAAAGAAGAGGCTGCTGAACGTAATGAATCGAAATAGTCCATAACTGATGCATATATAAACCTTATGAGAGCTATACAAGTGCACGGAATTATAGAAGTGAGGCTAATTTCAGCCGTAATTTTGCGTCGTCTGCCCCCAGTATGTCTCGTTTCCTCCCTCCCTCCCCCCCCCTCTCTCTCTCTCTCCATTTTCAGAAAAAAAGAAGGGGATTGTTGTTCATGTATTCCATAAGTATGGATAGATAGACGTAGATTGATACATTTACGTAGATTTAAAGATTAATAAAGCAAATGTTTGGCTGATTGACAAAGTATGTGGCAGAGATGAATAACCAACACAGTTTTTTGGATGACAGAAAAAAAAGATAAATACAAATCTTTTGTCTTACCCTACCTAATGCTTTCCCTTCACTTACAAATTTATCACCGAAACTAAATAATGAAAGGTTACTATAAAAATTCTGCAATTAGGTGTATTAAACATAAGTTATGCCAGATGCAAACCAAGCAAAAATTAGATCTATTGTTATCACATTGCAAAACTATATTAGGAAAGTGAAAATATACCTCTAACAGGTATGTCTCTATATAACTATCACTTGTAAAGGTCACTTACAAAGGTTTATGTCACGTTCTGCGTGTGGAAAACAGTGATAAGATATAGAGATTAGAGATAGGGATGTAGATATAAAGATATTTACATAGGTAAAAGATGTACCGAGATGCAAATGTTGAGATAAATATATAGATGGAGAAGGCAGGATTCATATAATAAAGTTGGTATCAAATATATCTAGAATGCAGTTATCAATGTGAAAAAATTGCCATAAATCATAAGGTTTCCCAGTTCTCGGTACGGGAAATAGTTGTCAAAGCCATAGTGTTATTATTACTCCATGGTCGTTTGTTGTCCAATTGTTCAACAAACAGTAGTGGCATTGTTCCCTCCGTGAACAAGAAAAGAGAGATTCGCGTTGTCTCACCTCATAGTGGATCATGACTTCACTGGGTGGGAGCCATTGCGGGCGGTCTCGTCGATCGTGGCCCGGGCGTTGCTGCAAGGGGGTGCTGGAGGACACTCACCTTGGCTCCTTTTTCTTAATGGGAGAAAAATAGGAACAACCTTTCACTGATTTGCTTTACAACAGCGCGAATTCATAATCTGACAACATAGAAAGCGCAGGGCAGGACTGAATCGTATTAATATATGAACTAACACCCTGTCTTTTTTGTTTCAGGTTCTACTTCTACATCTGGAGAAAACTCTTTTTAAGAAGGTCAACCTCAATTAAACATTCTTATCAAATGACTCTGGGGAATTTTCAACTAAAATGGAGGCGGTACTTGCGAGAAGGCTGTGGTCTGCTGTAAGGCAGGACGATGCCGAGGCTGCCAGGAAGTGCATCGATTCGGGAGCAGATGTTGCAATTAAAGACGAATCTGGAGACACTCCTCTCCACTACGCCTCAAAGCATGGCAGCTTGCCGATGGTCAAAGTCCTCTTGGATGCCGGGGCTAACCCAGACGCTACCAATGACAGTCAGCAAACGCCACTCCAGTATGCATCAGAAAGAGGCAAAGTGAAAATAACTAAACTCCTTTTTGAAAGCAAGGGTCGCACACCTGTCCAGACTGCCTCAACTTACAAGCAGAGACCAAAGACGGTAAGTTGGAGACTTTACAGCTTTGCATATATACACACGCACAAACACACACACACTAATATGTACCACCTACGTACACGCACGCGCACGCGAGCGCACAACCAAACAAAATCATACATTTATATATATCATATTACAGATGAATCATATTGCTAAACGTTTGGGACCCTTCTCACTTTTAATAAGTGATTGAGAAAGATGATAAGACGAAAAGGCATCGAAATCTTTTAAGAATTCATTCTTTGTCCGGAGTTTCCATGAAACATGAAAAGAAGAAAAATCTGTAAAGCCCAAAATGTCAGTTGCACCGATGCGTGCTTGCAGCTTCGTCCTTACTAGGGTATTAACCAGATGGACAGTCTGGAACCTAAACCTTTTAATTAAGCATTTCAGGTCTTGCCAAGACTGGATATAAT